ATCCCTGGGTGGCACAGCAGTTTGGTGCCTACCTTTGGCCTGGGGCGTGATCCTGGAGACCCGGGATCGAATCCCATGTTGGGCTCCTGGTGCATGGAGCCTGCTTCTCCCTCTGCCTGTGTCTCTGCCTCTCTCTCTCTCTCTGACTATCATAAATAAATAAAAAATTAAAAAAATAAATAAACAAACAAATAAACAAATAAACAAATAAATAAATAAGGGATCCCTGGGTGGCGCAGCGGTTTAGCGCCTGCCTTTGGCCCAGGGTGCGATCCTGGAGACCCGGGATCGAATCCTACGTCGGGCTCCCGGTGCATGGAGCCTGCTTCTCCCTCTGCCTATGTCTCTGCCTCTCTCTCTCTCTCTCTCTCTCTCTCTCTCTCTCTCTGTGACTATCATAAATAAATAAAAATGTTTAAAAATAAATAAATAAACAAATAAATAAATAAATAAATGTTTCTTTATCAGTGAGTGTTTCATATCACTTAAACTCTGCTTATTTCTCAATGAGGTTCTATGACATTTCCACCCATAACATCAAAAAGCCTGAAAATCCATTTCTGATAGGGTTTTTGTTGTTGTTGTTTCCAAGTAGGCTCCACACCCAGCATGGAGTCCAGTCTGAGGCTTGAACTCACAACCTTGGGATCAAGACCTGAGTTGAAATCAGAAGTCAGACACAACTGACTGAGAAACTCAGTTCCCCATCTGACAGTATTTTTTTTTTAAGATTTTATTCATTTATTCATGAGAGACAGAGAGGCAGAGACACAGGCAGAGGAAGAAGCAGGCTCCCTGACTCGATCCCAGGACCCAAGATTCACGATCTGAGCCAAAGGCAAATGCTGAACCACTGAGCAATCCAGGTGCACCCCCCATCTGACAGTTCTTTTTTTTTTTTTCCCCATCTGACAGTTCTAAATGTAGTTCTAAATGTGGTAGTAACTCCTGCCAATCGCTGTTTTCCTTTTTTAATTTTTAAAATTTCTAGCAATAAAACCTAAATAGTCTTATCAATTGGTATAACAAACCCACAACAAAGTATCAACTCATTTCCCAAAAAGGGGGCACCAAAAAAAAGGGGCACTAAATGAAAAAGATTAGCAAGGATATCTGAGACCTTCAACGTGTTTACTACTTTTTTTTAATGAAAAATAATGATTTGATAACAAAAATTACCAAAAACATTCTAATCCTCTTAAATGTTTAACATTCCCTTCTTACGATCTTTTAATTAATTTGGTCTTTAAGAAAAGCAAAACCAGGGGCTCCTGGATGGCTCAGTCAACCAGTTAAGTGTCTACCTTTCGCTCAGATCATGACCTCAGGGTCCTGGGATCAAGCCCCCACATTGGACTCCCTGCTCAGTGGGGAGTCTGCTTCTTCCTCTCCCTCTACCCCTCCCCTCCCTCCCGCTACTGTCCCGTCTCTAATAAATAAATTAAATCTTTAAGAAAAATGAATATGACCTGATTGTTTACACAGAAAATCCTAAGGAATCTACAAAAAGCTAGTAGAATAAGTAAATTAGCAAGTTGCAGGATATAAAGTCAATATACAAAATTCAATTATATTTCTATATGCTAGCAGCAAAAAATTGGAAAAAATTTTTTAAACATCCAATTAACAGCATCAAAAAAACCTCCAAAATACTAGTAACAGATGAACAAAATAACAAGATCCCCACAGTAAACACTACAAAACACTGCTGAGAAAAATTAAAGACCTAAGAGAATAGAGAGATATACCATGTTCATGCATCAGAAGATTCAATACTGATGTTAATTCTCCCCCAAACTAATCTACAGACTCAATACAATTATAATCATAATTCCATCAAGCTTTTCTCTAGAAATTGACAAGCTGATTCTAAAATGTATGTGAGGAACAGCTGGGTGGCTCAGTGGTTGAAAGTTTGCCTTCAGCTCAGGACGTGATCCCGGAGTTTTGGGATCAAGTCCAGCACTGGGCTCCTGCAGGGAGGCTGTTCCTCCTCCCTCTGCCTATGTCTCAGTGTCTCTCATTAATAAATAAATAAAACCTTAAAATACAATACAATAAAATAAAATTATATGAAAATGCAAAGAACCTAAAATATCCAAAACAATCTTAGGAGGAAAAGAAAACAAAACAATATAGTTGAAGATTTACACTACATGACTTCAAAACTTACCACAATGCTACAGTAACCAAGTCAGTATGATACCGGCAGAAGGACAAATGATCAATGAAAGACAAAAAACCATATTAGGGTTCAATTTCTGGTTCAGTTGGTAGAGCATGTGACTCTTGATCTAGAGTCATCTAGATCTAGTGTTCTCATCTCATACACTTATTAACTCAAGATGGATCATAGAACTAAATGTAAAATCTAAATTATAAAAGTTTCCAAAAGGCAGCCCTGGTGGTTCAGTGGTTTAGCGCCGCCTTCAGTCCAGGATGTGATCCTGGAGACCAGGGATCGAGTTCTGCGTCAGGCTCCCTACATGGAGCCTGCTTCTCCCTCTGCTTTTCCCTCTGCCTGTGTCTCTGCCTCTCTCTGTGTGTCTCTCATGAATAAATAAATAAAATCTTTAAAAATAAAATAAAATAAAAAATAAAAGTTTCCAAAGAAGATACAGAATATCTTTATGACTTGGGGGGCAGCAAAGGTTTCTTAGAGGTCACAGAATGCAAGAACTATAAAAGAAAAAAATGTCAAATTAGAATTCATCAAAATTTAAAACTTCTGCTCATCTAAAGACAACAAACAGGAGGGAACCTGGGTGGCTCAGTCGGTTAAGCATCTGCCTTCGGCTAAGGTCACAATCCCGGGGTGCTGGGATCAAGTCCCACATTGGGCTCTCTGCTCTGCAGTGAGTCTGTTTCTCCCTCTGCCCCTCTCCCTACTCGTTCTCTCTCTCCCTCTCTCTCTCAAATAAGTCTTAAAAAAAAGAAAAGAAACAGGAGGGGCACCTGGGTGGCACAGTTAGGCCTCTCTTGATTTTGCTCAGGTCATGATCTCAGGGTCATGAGATCAAGCACTGCATTGGGCTGTGAACTCAGCAAGGGATCTGCTGGAGATTCTTTCCCCTCCCACTCCCTTTCCCTTTGCTTCTCCCCCCAGCTCTCATGAGTGTGTGCACATACACACTCTATCTCAAATAAATAAATGAATAAAATCTTAAGAGGAAAAAAAGGCTGACAGACATTTTGTTAGCAAAAATGTAAAGCAACTGGAACTCTCACACATTGTTGGTAATATTTTAGAAAAAAATCTAGCAGTTTTTCATGAAACTAAATATATACTTATGTATATTTATGATCCAGCAATTCCACTCTGAAATATTTACCCAAGAATTGAAAACACATGTTCACAAAAAGATCTGTACACAAATATCAGTAGAAACTTATTCAAAACAGCCAAAAACTGGGGATCCCTGGGTGGCTCAGCGGTTTGGCGCCTGCTTTTGGCCCAGGGCGCAATCCTGGAGTTCCGGGCTCCCGGCCTGCTTCTCCCTCTGCCTGTGTGTCTGCCTCTCTCTCTCTCTCTCTCTCTGTGTCTATCACAAATAAATAAATCTTAAAAAAAAAAAAAAAAGCCAAAAACTGAGAAAAGCCCAGATGTTTATTAACAGAAGAATGTAAAAACAGAGGTATAGTCAGAAAACAGAATGGTACTCAGCCAATACAAAGGAACAAACTACTGATACAAGAGCAACATGGATGAACCTTGAAAACATTAGGATGAGTGAAAGATGCCTTACTCAAACGAGTACTTTTTTTGAATATATGAATCCATTTACATGCTCCATTTGCATGGAACCAGCAAGAGTAATCTAATATAGAAACAAAATTACAACAGTGGTTGCCTGGGGTTGAAGGAACATCTCCAAGAATAAAAGAACTTTCTGGGACGATGGTACCATTCTGTCTTGATAGGACTAAGTTCTACAGGTATTTCCATTTGTCAAAACTCGTTGAACCCTTAGATTGTGCATTTTGGTTGGAATCCCAATGTGGGTATAGAGATTACTTAAAAAGACAGAAAAAAACATACCTAGAAGACTGTGCATTTCATTGTATGCAAAATTTACACTCTCTTAAATATATATGTATATATAAATATTGAACTTGTTATACAAGCAGACATCATATTCAGAAGTAAAAAATACTGACATCTCCAACATAATTTGAAGTATAGCAAAAAATCAAGATGGTTAAATGAATGAATAGAGGGATGGATAGATGAATATGTAATAAAATGAATGATAAACTTAGAATCTTGATGTATATAAGGGTATTCAGTATATTATTCCTTCAACTTTTCTGCACTTTTAAATATTTTCATAATAAAATGCTGGGAATAAAATTTTAATTACAAGTTACCACATGAATACTGTACACCAGATCAATAACAACAGATGCCAAATGATTAAGTGATTACTACGTGAGAAGCACTATGATGGTTACTCACATATGTAATATATAATCCCCATAGCAATCCTGCAAAGCAAGTATTATCTCCACTTTCCAGATAGGGAATTGATACACAAAAAGACTAAGAAACTTATTCCAGACTCAGACAGCTAATAAATGGTAAAAGCATGACTCTAAACGCAGCTCTGATTCCGTAAGGGCTGCTCTTTCCATTACATCATACTGTTTTAACAATAAATCCAAGGATTTGACCCAATTAATATTTTTATACTATGGGAATTCTGCATTGTACTTTTTCCTAAGAGTTTAAGTAATCTCTGCACCCAATGTGAGCTCAATCGTCACATGCTCTACCAACTGAGTCAGCCAGGTGTCCCTGTGCTATGACTAGTAGTAAAAATGAGTGGGTTAAATAGCAAGGGTTTTGGAAATCAATGACCCTGTCCTTCCACTGTAATGGGATAGCTACTGCATGGCTGCTGCTATTCTTATCTCCTTTCAACAATATTATGAATGTGTTTTATGATACTAGACATGAATGCCAAAACCATGACACAATTTCCTCAAACACAGTTCTTTACCTCATTTCTCGTTCTTCATGTTGAGCGATAAGGTTGCTATAAAAATTCTCCAGTGTCACTTTGGTCATGGTCACTCTTTCCTTTGTGTGATTACTCATGGAGGAACAAGGTGTTGAGCCTGTCATTGCCATGGCTGCTAGAAACAAAAAAAGAAGAGGTATTAGTTTTGGATTAGAACCCACCAACTAGGGCAGCCCAGGTAGCTCAGTGGTTTAGCGCCGCCTTCAGCCCAGGGTGTATCCTGGCGACCCAGGACTGAGTCCCCCATCGGGCTCCCTGCATGGAGACTGCTTCTGCCTGTGCCTCTCTCTCTCTCTCTCTCATGAATAAGTGAATAAAATCTTTTTTTTTTAAAGATTTTATTTATTTACTCATGAGAGACACAGAGAGGCAGAGACACAGGCAGAGGGAGAAGCAGGCTCCATGCAGGGAGCCCGACGTGGGACTCGATCCCAGGTCTCCAGGATCATGCCCCGGGCTGAAGGCGGCGCTAAACCGCTGTGCCACCCGGGCTGCCCAAGTGAATAAAATCTTAAAAAAAAAAAAAAAAAAAGAACCCACCAACTATGTACTCTCTTACTCCACTGGTAGGAAAGTAAATTTGTTTAAGTTTTCTGGAGGACAAACATATAATATATAACAAAAGCCAGACAAAGAGAATATTTGGTGAAAATAAGTATATATTAATGTCCTATGACCCAGAAATACCATTGCTAGGCATAAGACCTAAAGAAATTGTCACACGGGCTCTTACGAAATGCATAAAGGGGGCGCATGGGTGGTTCAGTCAGTTAAGCGTCTATCCTTTGGTTCAGGTTATGATACCACGGTCCTGAGATGGCGCCCCACATTGGGCTCCCTGCTCCCTGCTCTCCTTCTCCTTCTGCCCTTCCCCCTGCTTGCTCTCTCTCATGTTCTTTGTGTCTCTCTCTCTCAAATAAATAAATAAAATCTTTTAAAAATTAAAAAAAAGAAAGAAATGCACAAGGATGTATATAATAGACAATGTTTATTATGCCCTCATTTGTGTTATAGGAAGTTGAAGCCAATTCAGTAAGGAAATAAAGAAAATGTTGTGGATGCACATAAAGAAATAACATGCAGCAGTCAGGGATCCCTGGGTGGCGCAGCTGTTTAGCGCCTGTCTTTGGCCCAGGGTGTGATCCTGGAGACCCGGGATCGAATCCCACGTCGGGCTCCCGGTGCATGGAGCCTGCTTCTCACTCTGCCTATGTCTCTGCCTCTCTCTCTCTCATTCTGTGTGACTATCATAAATAAATAAAAATTAAAAAAAAAAAACAAAAACATGCAGCAGTCAGAAGCAAATCTATCTGTACCTAAAAGTGACATGAATAGATCTTTAAAACATATGCTATAATTTTAAAAAGGAAGAGAACAAGATCACAATACCATAAATGCATACTAAGAATATATAATATAGACACAGAATAAAACTTTGCCATCCAAGAATCTACCTTGAAGAAATAAAATCTTTAAAAAAAAAATTTTAAATTTTTTTTTTTAATTTATTTACGATAGTCACACACAGAGAGAGAGAGAGAGAGAGAGGCAGAGACACAGGCAGAGGGAGAAGCAGGCTCCATACACCGGGAGCCCGATGTGGGATTTGATCCCGGGTCTCCAGGATCGCGCCCTGGGCCAAAGGCAGGCGCCAAACCGCTGCGCTACCCAGGGATCCCCTAAAAAAATTTTTTTAAATAAAATAAAATATGTATCAAAATGTGACTAATGGTTTAACTTTAGGCAGTAAGAATGCCATTCTTTTGTGGCATAAAGATCATTTATGTGAGCTTTTCCATATTTTATATATTTTCTTCAATGAGCATGTACTATTGCTACTAAATTACCAATAATTTTTAAAGATTTTTTTAAGATTTATTTATTTATTTATGAGAGACAAGGAGATGCAGAGACATGGGCAGAGGGAGAAGCAGGCTCCATGCAGGGAGCCCAATGTGGGACGTGATACCAGATCCTGGGTTACACTCTGAGCCAGAGGCAGACACTCAACCGCTGGAGCCACTCAGGTGTCCCTAAAGATTTTATTTTTAAGTAATCTTTCCACCCAACGTGGGGCTCAAACTTACAACCCAAGATCAAGAGTTGCATGCTCTACTGACTAAGCCAGGCAGGTGTCCCAAATTATCAATAATTTTTAAATTTATAAACTTTCTACAGTTAAAAAAAATCTATAACAAATGCTCATCTACAGGGGCACCTGGGTGGCTCAGTGGTTGAGCATCTACCTTCTGCCCAGGTCATGATCCCAGGGTCCTGAGATTGAGTACCACATTGGGCTCCTCACAGGGAGCCTGCTTCTCCCTCTGCCTATGTCTCTGCCTCTCTCTGTGTCTCTCATGAATAAATAAAATCTTAAAAAAGGACAGCCTGGGTGGCTCAGTGGTTTAGCACCGCCTTCAGCCCAGGGCGTGATCCTGGAGACCCAGGATCGAGTCCCACGTCGGGCTCCCTGCATAGAGTCTGATTCTCCCTCTGCCTGTATCTCTGTCTCTCTCTCTGTTCCTCATGAATAAATAAATAAAATCTTTTTTAAAAAAATCTTAAGAAAAAATAAAATAAAATGCTTATCTGCAGGTATAGATGTATTCTGACATGTCTTATAGTATTTGATAAATGCATGCTATTTGGATTTATAAATTAAATTAAAACCTATGATAAAAACAATGTTACAAAGAAAAAACGTGAATCATAATTTTAGCGATGGAAGATATATTAAAAACAAGAAACCCTAACTTCTTAATTTACATATGAGAAAACTGATACCAACATGGTTTAAACAACTTACAGAACATTTTTCCCTAAATTTATTTATTTTAAAGATTTTATTTATTTATTCACAAGAGACACAGAGAGAGAGAAGCAGAGACACAGGCAGAGGAAGAAGCAGGCTCCATGCGAGGAGCCCAACGTGGTACTTGATCCCAGGATTCCAGGATTCCAGGGTCACGCCCTGGGCCAAAGGCAGGCTCTAAACCGCTGAGCCACCCAGAGATCCCCCATTTTTTCCCTAAATTTAAATCTCATTTTCCCCAGCCCATACTGTCACAGTTGGCCAAACCATTCACCACTCTGGACTTGCTCCAGGGTTGAGAATAATGCTAGATATTTTAGCCTTATCATGCCTTCCTCCAATATGACCTGCCTCTAAGTTTGTCCTTTCATCCCAATATGAAGCTGAGTAAAAATCAGAAGCAACCAAGGGCCATTTTCAAAAGTACATTTGGGACGCCTAGGCGGCTCAGCGGTTGAGCATCTGCCTGCTTTAGCTCAGGGCGTGATCCCAGAGTCCCGGGGAACTTGTCCCGCAGCAGGTTCTTTGCAGGGAGCCTGCATCTCCCTCTGCCTACTTCTTTGCCTTTCTCTCTGTCTCTCTGTCTCTCACGAATAAACAAAGTCGGAAGAAAAGAAAGTAAGAAAAAAAAAAGAGAAGAGAAGAGAAGAGAAGAGGAGGGGAGGGGAGGGGAGGGGAGGGGAGGGGAGGGGAGGGGAGGGGAGGGGAGGGGAGGGGAGGGGAGGGGAGGGGAGGGGAGGGATAACAATTTTTTTAAAAAGTACACTTTATGGAAAGTTTCCTTAAGGTTCTCCCTTAATACTTAGCAGCTTCGGGCAGCCCGGGTGGCTCGGCGGTTTAGCGCCGCCTTCAGCCCCAGGCGTGATCTTGGAGATGCGGGATCCCCACATTATGAGTCCCACATTGGGCTCCCTGCAGGGAGCCTGCTTCTCTCTCTGCCTGTGTCTCTGCCTCTCTTTCTCTTTCTCCGTGTCTCTCATAAATAAATAAAATCTTAAAAAAAAAATACTTAGCTTCTTAGATTAAGGCTATTTAGGAGTGTGCACTTATTACTAAGACAAAAGGCTTAACATAAAAGCTATTCAGGCAAAAGTCACGTAAAAGAATAATCCTTTCAGAGCAAAGAGATTCAAGATCAAGGCTCTACTTCAAACATTTTTATTCATGATGTGCCAAAATGATTAGTAATCACAAATTCAAGAAAGTGAACTCAGCTCTACCTTACAATGTTATTCGTTACTATTACTTTTTATGGGGTGGTTTCTGCTAATAGCAACAGCAAACCCAAATATTTTTAGGATAACAGTAGAATTTTTTAAAAACCTCTGGTTTATGAAGCTTGGGTGTGGTTCCTTATTTGTCAGCCTGTACCCCCTCCACCCACAATGAAAACCACATGCACTCTAAGTCTGGTGAAGAAATTTTAAACCAAATTTAAAAACAAGTCTGAAGCAAGGGAGTGCTTTGTACTCCTCCCTTGCCTGAACACTTCTAGAGACCTTTATATATATATATAAAACACATATATGTGGTTACATTCTAACAACTGAAATTATTTCAACATAAAAATGCAACTAGAGTGTTTAAACCTAAGACAAACAATGCCTTTCATATAATAGGTTGTTAATAAATATAAGTTGAGCAAGTTCATGATTTTTTGGTTGTCAAAAAAACTAAAGAACAAAATTACATTTACATTGATCTGTATATAAATACTGGGGTGAAGAAAGTTTTGACTCATTTAAGTCATTAGCATGGCTTTCTAAGCTTTTAAAAAGATCGACAGATAAGTGTATTCAAAGATGCTCATATAACAGACCAACAAATTTTCTAGTAGAATGATACAGTCTCTAATGTAATGGCAAAGGTGGCACTGCCCTTCCCTTTGACCTTTCTTCAAAACCTCCTACTCCTCCCCTTCCTCTACTCATAAAAGGAATAGCCTTTTCTAATAACCTTTCATCAAAAGATACAATTACTATTGCCCTATACCAATTTATAGCTTTACTGGGTCAACCAAGTACTTTTTATAAGACAGGGATCACACTCACACTTTTTGATCATTCAAGCCTTCATGCCCTGACCTACAAGCCAACGGAGGCCCCTGTCCTATTTGTTTCATTCTCCAACTCTGCAGGATTAGGGAACAGGTAGGCAAAAAATCCTTAAAAGTGTTAAAAGTTTAAAAGAATGTGATCTTCAGAAGTTAGGGGTAGGTAGTGCAAACATAGAAGTAGACTGAATGAATACCATTGTTTTATTCAACCTAGATGATTATCCTTGGTTGACTGACTCTACAATGGCACTGTCATCTCTAATGAAGACCCCTTCTCTCACCAATTCTTTACTTCTTTGTAACAGACAATCCTGTATCTTTCATTTGGGCAAATGAACACGGATGCTAAGACTATTCCTTAAGAATCATGTATCTGAATTTCTCCTCCTGAACTGTAAGCCAAGGGAAAGCAAGCATCTGTCTTAATATCCTTCTCCCATCTCATGCTCAATGTACTTAGTAAGCACCTTATAAAAGATTTACCAAGAAAGCACTCATCTTTCCTCACCATTCCTGGGAGCTGAGAATATGTATGTATGTAGGACAGGGACGGCATTGGGAGGTGAAATGGTTTTCTCCGCCAAGTTGGGGGGTAAAGTTCTGGTCCTCTTACCAGCGGAGCCTGTTACCCTGATGTTGTCTGTTTAGGGAAACCACAACTACTGCCTGGCTAATTCTAATTCAGAGCCAAGGTGAGCTGAAAGGGAGAGGAAGCAGCAGGTGTGCCTCACATCAACCTCCCTCTGCACATCAACCTCCCTCTGCACAAAAAAAAAAAAAAAAAAAAAAAAAAAAGTTTCTCTTTGTGTCTTTTAGTCGATTCAAAGTGCAAACTGGGAGATCTGATCTTTAGTAGATCAGCTAGTAGCTGTTTCTGCACACTTTGTGATACACACTTTCCTTTTCCATTATTTCTTTAAAAAACAACAACAAAAAACCGTCACTCAATTTTCCTGTGATTTTAAGATGATCTGAAGCCCTGTACCCTAAGACTAACCATGGGGAAGGGGAAGGGGGCACACTCAAGGGAGCCACACCCCAGCGTGGGCTTTCCACATCTCTGCCTCACACAACAGCTCCTAGGTTCTCAGACCCCAGAAAAAAAGAAAAAAGGTGGAAAATGGTAATGACTGAGATCCCAGAGGAGACCTGAGCTGTAGCAGCGAGCAAAGCTAGCAACACGGAAAAGGAGAAGAGAGCCTGGCTCCCCGCCCCAACTGGAAAGAAAGAAAAGAAAGAAGGGAGGAAGGGAGGACGGGAGGAAGGAAAAGAAAGAAGAAAGAAAGAAAAGAAAAGAAAAGAAAAGAAAAGAAAAGAAAAGAAAAGAAAAGAAAAGAAAAGAAAGGAAGGAAGGAAGAAAGGGGTGGGGAGCCTGAGACTGGGGAAGTGTGGCGAGGACCGACAGGGAGAGGAACCGGGCGCGGGGGGGTGTCGGCGGCTGACGAGAGCCGCCGAGGGCCGGCCCGCACAACGGCTGCTAAGAGGGCGCCGGGGGAAGGGAGAACCCCTAAAGGAGGGGGAAGCCTGGGGTGGGCTGAAGACTCACCAGAGCCCCGGGAAAGAAGGGCTGGGGGCGGCGGACGGCCGCGGACGCCGCCCGGCCAGCGACCTCTCCGACCCGCAGACACGCGAGGCCCCAGCGGCAGCCCCGCGCCGACCAGCCACGACTAGGGGACGCGCAAGGGGCTCCGAGGCTGGGGCCGGGGGCGGGAGCGCGTAAGGACAACAGGAAGCGCTCCAACTGCCGGAAAAGACGGCGGCGCGGAGGGGCCAAGGCAGCCCAGTCCCCCGCCGCGGAGAGGGGCTGGCGCGGGGGCCGGGGGCCGGCACTGCGCAGGCGTGACTGGCCCGCGACGCGGCGGGGGGGCCACGGGACTGCGCGTGCGCGGCCCCGCCGCACCCGTCCTCCCCGCCTCACCTGGGAGAGAGTCGGAGAGAGAGGGAGGCGGTGCGGCGGGCGGCCGCGCGCGGTGTGCAGTGGGGGTTTCGGGGTGGGCTAGGCCGGGCTCGGGGGAGGTGCCCTTTGTTTTCTGGTTTCTTTGTTTGCTTTATTTGGAGATAATTACAGACTCGCAGAAGGCTGCAAGGTTAATACAAGGAAGTCCCGTGTACCCATCACCCACCCAGTTCCCTCACCATCTTACACAAACCAGGAAATTGACATCGGCACAACACAACTAACTAAACCAATACGATTGACTAGATTGCAGACCTTACTCGGATTTTACCAGTTTGCCATGCACTCGTTTGTGTGTCTGTGTGTGCTTGCGTGCTCGCACTCATCTGTAGTTGTATTAAATTGTATTACTTGTGGAGTCGTCATCCCCCGCCTTCCCCTGATTTTTGATCATCGTAGCAATAAGACGGCTAGAACCCCTGACCCCATCTTACTCTTCCTTAAAATAAGGACCAACACTAAGGACTTACTTGGGATTTGGAGAGCTTTCGTAACATCAGGCCATGGGGGGTGGGGGGGGGGGAGCATCCCAGTCTGCACAGAAGAACCTGCTTTTCAAGGCGACGCAACCGCTTAGTCTGTGCATCTCCGGGTAAAGAAGCCCCAAGCCTTCAGGACGCTCATTCTTTTCTTGAGAAAGGAGCACAGTGCTCTTGACTAGAAAGCGTCAGGCTCCTGGAAACAATAGATGAGTAAGATAGGGTGCCTGCTTGCCTTCAAAAAGACCATGTAGGTAGCAAAATGTGTAAGTCATTCATTAGGGTATTTTGTGCTAGCTTGGTGCCTCATTCTTGGGTTATTCTAGGACTATAGAGCTCGGTTTTGCCGTTCAAGCTTGGGGTCCTGGGCTTTGTTTCCTTAATGGCCTTAAAAAACATAGGCATTCCGTGACTGCTTTTATCTTCCTAGACTTCAAAGCCCTGTTTCCTTTGTGTCACCTCAAACTAAAAACAATTCATCCTTCATTCTCTCTGTCCAAAGGCCCTTCTCCACCAATGCCTTTTGTCAAAGTTCTACCAGTCCTTAATGACTTAATAACAGTGCAAGATGTTTGCTTAGCGCACTTTCCAGTTTAGAAACCCCATTCTTCATCTGATCTCAGTTCATCCTCACAAGTCTTTGACAGGTCACATAGGATGAGTAACTTTACACATAAAGTAACTAGCACTGAGAGAAGTGAAGGAAACTGCCTGAATTGTCACAGCTAGTAAAGCAAGAGGAGCCCCATTCTCTGATTGCAAATCCAATGTTCTTTCTGCTTTCCCCTTCCCCCAGCTGAAACCTTATCTTTTCCTTGGAGCCTTCCCAATTCCCAATAGAGGATACATAGCTAGCCTAGTGCTACTCATTATGTGATCATTGGACTTGACTGACATAAAGACTTGTAACAGGTTTATTGTAGGCCTTAGAGTCATCTCTTTGTAACTCTTTGTCTCTTCCATCTGCTTACCCTGGATTCTGTATTGCTCTTCCTCTGTCACCCCTCTCCCTTCCCTGGCTCTTCGCCTCCATTCCGTGCAGCATACAGTAAGGCTGTCAGCTTCCACGCAAATAAGTGGGTACCTTTCCAACCATTTTTCTTTTCAATGGCATTTAATACTATCCTAAGCAAATTTGCCTTTGCTTAACTCATCAGGCAGCCTTCTGGGTCAGTTTTTTGTATCTTTTGCCTTGATGTCCTGTTCTCTTCCACAGCATTGAGGTCTCATGAATTTTTCTAATTGTTTTTGTTGTTGATGAATTGTTTCACTATTAAATATATGCATGTATCCAAAAAATTCTATTCTCTATAGTTCTATATTAATTTATCTATACCTTAACTCTAATAAACACTAAAATTTTACTCAAAATTGCTCAACCAGAATATGCTGCTCTTCTCTACTTCCAGCAAGTAGAAACAAAACCTAAATGCCACCAGTCATTTATACCCACCCCAGACTGTGAGTTGGAAGCAGAAGCAAGTGTGAGCTGACCCTTACACCCACAGGATGGGGCCTTATTTGCCTCCCTATAGTACTGTGTTGTTGGATCCTGCTTTTATTTTTTTTTAACTTTTTTTTATTTTTTATTTATGATAGTCACAGAGAGAGAGAGAGAGAGAGGCAGAGACATAGGCAGAGGGAGAAGCAGGCTCCATGCACCGGGAGCCCAACGTGGGATTCGATCCTGGGTCTCCAGGATCGCGCCCTGGGCCAAAGGCAGGTGCCAAACTGCTGCGCCACCCAGGGATCCCCCTGCTTTTATTTTAAATGCTGCTATTTGGGCAGCCCCGGTGGTGCAGCAGTTTAGCGCCGCCTGCAGCCCAGGGTGTGATCCTGGAGGCCTGGGATCGAGTCCCACATTGGGCTCCTTGCATGGAGCCTGCTTCTCCCTCTGCCTGTGTCTCTGCCTTTCTCTCTCTCTCTGTATCTCTCATGAATAAATAAATAGAGTCTTTTAAAAAAAATAAATGCTGCTATTTTGTTCATCATGCATTTTTTGCATTAATTTTTATTTTTTTAAAAGTTGCATTAAAATGTTATCTTGATTACTGATTCTTTTGCTACCCTCATAAATCTTGTACCAAGGGAAGTGTCTTGCTCACCTCACCCTACTCCAGACCCTGGAACGATCACTCTGAATCCATTCTGGTCAGAGTGGTAGCTGCTACATACAGTTTCTAGAGACCTTCATAGAGATCTCAGACCAGGATTGTCATGTGTCACACGGCCACCCTTTCTGGGAAAGCAAGTACTCAGCTTTTGTTATATTCTGTAATGGAGACAGAAAAGAAAGGAAGTGAAAATGGATGTTGAGTGATCCAGCCAATAATGACTGCCATGGAATATATACATTACTTTGGGGATCCCTGGGTGGCGCAGCGGTTTGGCGCCTGCCTTTGGCCCAGGGCGCGATCCTGGAGACCTGGGATCGAATCCCACATCGGGCTCCCGGTGCATGGAGCCTGCTTCTCCCTCTGCCTGTGTCTCTGCCTCTCTCTCTCTCTGTATGACTATCGTAAATAAAAAAAAAATTTTTTATACATTACTTTGCTGTTCTCTTTTAATCTAATTTCCTTTTTTTTTTTTAAGATTTTATCTATTTATTCATGAGAGACACAGAGAAAGAGGCAGAGACATAAGCAGAGGGAGAAGCAGGCTTCCACAGGGAGCCCAATACAGGACTCAATCCCGGGTCCCCAGGATCATGATCTGAGCCAAAGGCAGACACTCAACCACTGAGCTACCCAGTTGCCCCTTAATCTAACTTCCTAATCTAAGTGCAGAATGGCATATTGCAGGATGCTTTATTTTTAAATTTTATTTATTTTCTTTAGTAAGCTCTACACTGAACATGGAGCTTGAACTCAAGACCCCAAGATCAAGAGTCACATGCTTCTCCAGGAGTTCCATCCAGGTGCCCCTACAGGACCCATATTAATTGACTTCTGGTTAATGGGAACATTCCTTTTTATTTTCTATTCTGTATTATCTCTGCCCTCATATAATTATAACTACAATACAATCCACCTATTCAAGATTCTCAGTTTGGGGTTTTATTTTGGGGGGTTTTGTTTTAGGTTTTGGTTTTGGTTTTCTGACATATTTTTGCCACAAAGTACATGTTATTTTCATTCACCATACAAATAATTTCCTGTAATATCCCAGGGAAAGGTGGAGAATTTAGCAGTCTGATTGGGAGTCCTCTGAGAGACCCACAGGCCAGTGGGATCAGCACAGAATGCCCGGGTTCACCATGCACTTATGTCCATCTTGCAGGTGATTCTTCTTCCTCCACGTCAGGACTGAGGTGTCTTGAAGATGACTGGGGGTGGAGAATCCTAAAGGTTCTTAGGAAATTTCACTCCACTTCTCCATTCAACCATCTGTTGGGTCCATCTTCAGCTTGGGGGCGATTTCCCCCATGCCTGGCTTGTCTGCCATTTTCTTAAAGCGATCCATGAAATTCCCCTTCGAGCCCCGTGGCTGATGCACCCACTCCTGTTGCTGCAGCAAGAGACCTCCATTTTGGTTTTGGTTTTGCTTTTAAGATTTTATTTTTAAGTAATTGCTACACCCAAAGGAGTGAGCTCGAACTTACAACCTCCAGATCAAGAGTCACATGCTCTACCGAGTCAACCAGGCACCCCACCCCGCAAGATTCTCGGTTCTATAACAGATATCTTTAAAAGCTGTTGGAAAACCAACAACCTTATAGTATACTAAGTTATTCTTCATCCCCATGGATTTGAATTACTTGGTCAGAATATTAGCACTTTTTTTTTTTAGGTAAGCTCTATGCTCAAAGCAGGGGCTCAAACTTACAACCCCAAGATCAAGAGTAGCATGCTCTGCCAACTAAGCCAGCCAGGTGCTACAGGTGCTACAAATACTAACACTTTTGTCTTGCTCTTTTCCCCAGTTTCAGACCGACTAATCTTTTCCTTCTGTTTAAAAGTTGCCCCAGGGGTGCCGGGTTGCTCCCTCAATTGAGCATCAGACTCTCGGTTTCCGCTCGGGTGAGGATCTCAGGGTCAAGGAGATTAGCCCTGCCTCAGGCTCTGCTCACAGCAGGGAGTCTGCTTGAGATTCTCTCCCCCTCTCCCTTTGCCCCTCCCCACCCCTAGTGAGAGCAAGTGAACTCTCTGTCCCTTACTTTTTAAAAAAAAAAAAGATTTTATTTATTTATTAACAAGAGACAGAGCACGTGCACGCGGCAGAGATACAGGCAGGGGGAGAAGCAGGCTCCATGCAGGGAGCCCGATGTGGGACTCGATCCTGGGTCTCCAGGATCACTTCCTGGGCTGAAGGCGGTGCTAAACCGCTGAGCCACCCAGGCTGCCCCATCTCCCTCACCTTTCTCAAAAAATAAATAAGTAGGGCACCTGGGTAGCTCAGTGG